GCTGGACTGGACTGCATCTGGGCCCTGAACCTGGGCCGAATCCGTGGGGTGTCGAGGGCGGCCCGAACGCTAACCACGACACTCACTCCGTGACTCCTCAATCCGTTCAGTCGTGCATTTCCAGTCTTTCACTCAACAGTCGACACCCACCAGCAGCAGTTGAGGCAGCCGCTATTGGCAAGCGCCGATGGGAGAGAAAGGGCAAGGATGGGGATGGGACGTGGGAGTGCGGCCCAGCCCAATCCAAATTGCGACCAGCTCTAACATCCTCGAGCAAGGGTGTGGCGGCCCAGTGGAAGCGATAGTGCTATTATGGAACCTTCCAGCACCAGAGGCGCTCTACTAAGGACAGCCTACAGGTGGGAGTCTGGAGACAGGGCGGCTTGCTCAGGCGTCTCGCCAGCTGTAAGTGGCCAGGACAGGGCTTCAATTCGACATGGGAATTTCCAACAGACGAGGCGTCCGCCTCTCGGTGATCGCCTGAAGGTGTGCTTCATCACTCAGAAAGGCCTGCGTCCTGCTTGCTGTAGAGTGCAGAGCAAGGAGCACCTTTGTTCAAGTCGATTCTGCACCACGCCTCAGCTTCAGCCTCCGGACATTATCCAGGCAATCCGACCTGTCACTGCCTTAACCGATGCCTGCCAGCCGTTTCTGTCTCTTTGCAGACTGTGTGTGTGTGTGTGTGTGTGTGTGTGTGTGTGACAGACAAGCTCCGTCAGCGCCGAGCCACTTACAGTTGCCTCAGTTCGCCTTCAGTTCGCCTCTGCCTACTCACATTAGGTGGCCTTGACGAATTGGAATAGCCAAATAACCCGATAGGAAGATAATGCCTCACGAACATGATCCCCAAGAAGCAGGCTTGAGGGCCGCAAGTGTGCCTTTGCCTTTCATCTGCAGCTTACGCCTTTCCTTGCGTCTCTGAAGCAGCAGCAATAATTTGCACCACAGCCAACTGGACGACGACTTCCACTTTAGACATGGTGCATTGTGACGGTGTTGGCAGCATTTGATACGACCAGTCTGTTATGCCTCCATCTCCCCCTCTCCGGGTTTGTTGGGGGAGTGGCTACAGAGACTCATTCCTTCAACGATCTTACAACTCGTCAAACCAGCCGTTCTGCGTTTTGACGCCCCCTTTCCCTGGCGGCCTGGCCCTCGCTTTGCGGTACTTTAGGCTTGGGACAGAGATGAAAATTTTCACAGCATGGATCAGCCTCTGAATCTTCTTTTCTCTCCGTCTCCCTTCGGAATGGGCAACGCAACGGATCGATCGATCCATGGTGTCTGGTCTCTGTGCGCCTGGCCATGGCCTAGGTACTCCGTACCCAGGTTCTTGCTCGTTATGCCCGCTCTGCGCCCTAGTTGCCTTTACTACCCGTTCTGTTTTACATTGAACGGTGAGTCGTTCCGGAGACATGTATCAAGAGACAATAACAACAAACAGAACAAAACAAAGTTTGACTTCGTTGTACGCTCAGCGGTCTTCGTCTATACTCCCCGTGATAACTGGGTGTCCATATCCGAGGCGGGTTTCGTCGGCTCGCTTCATTTGTGCTGCAATGCTTTAGTACCTCTGAGCGCCAAAGGTATTCAAGAGCAGCCCGGGAGTCTCCAGTCGAACCACCATGGCACCTCAAAGCGGGTGTTGTGCCGTTGCACCGCCTGCATTTCAAGCCACCGCATCGCTTTCTGTTTTACACCTCAGACACATCCTCTTCTGCACAGCGAGTACACGCACTCGAACAAGTATCACGGTGATCGACCTTCGCCAGTCGGGCGGTCTCTATTGAACAAACCCGTTTTACCCGCTGTAGTATGAGCACTAGACATATTCTGCCGTCCAACCACTCAACCAGGTGCTGCGGTAACAGTACTCTCTTGCAACGAGGCAGGGGCCGTCTCACCCGCATATCTCACAAGTGGTCGGTCATGTTATGTAATTTCTGATTGAATGAGAGCATGGAGGCTATTGTCTCGCACGAGACGAAAGACTCCGGTCTTTCTCATCGGTGCCTGTGCCTGTGCCTTTCGAATTCGGATAGATGCAGGCCCGGAAGCTGAACTGTCTCTTGTCTGCTCGGCGGTCACGCCCCATCGTCAAGAGCCTTGAGCCGGCTCACGTAATACGACTTTCCCCCTTGAACCACGACAAGCCGACAATGACGTCAAGCTTTTTCTCTCCTCTCACCTTGCGGACACCGGTTTCATCTTTCAGTCTGGACTGATCCGAAGGAGCACGGCATCCCAGGTCCCTGGGAACAATACTTCGCAGGCCCGTGACACACGGCACGGTCAGACGCTTCATGGCCAAGCATCATCAGCGGAAACGCTGACAGGAAGAGCAGCGAACCGATCCGTTGTACAGAGTGTCATTGTTCTTGCTGTCTGGGCCACGGCTGCTGGGTTGAGGAGCCTGAGACAAACTTGTGCCGTGCCTCGTCCCGTGCCCGGCATCGTTGCAAGGAACATCTCTGAAGGATACCCGCACCTTTCCCGCACCTTACGTGAACGCAGGGCACATTTGGCGAGAACCCGTCCAAAGGCAATTGAGTCGAAAGTTTCCGGGACGGGAGGGACAAGGGGTTGAGGCGAACCAGAGCTTTCCTGGGCAGCCACGGCAAACGAGGTTCAAACAACGGGACCGTCCCTCCCTTCTCTACGGAGTTTTCCTGTCCAAGCAGCGTGGCAGCTTTCGACGAAGCTTCAATGCCGTGCCGCGTCAAGGTACCTGGTAGACATGGAAAGAAGAGCCAACTGCCGGGAGATGCGTCAGCATCCTCTTTGCCAGTCACAGATTGACACGACCACAAGTCATCGAATCTTGGGGCGGGCTCCCGTTTCATCCTCCTCGGTTGACTTTTAACCAACATCAGGCCGAATCACAAAGCTTGCAAGACCGGTCCAGACTTTTTGCAATTATCCGGGGTGAGTTGCAGCCAAAAAACCTTGTTTAACTGCTGAGCGATCTAGGCCACGGCACTAATTTATTGCACTTTGCTGGTCTCATTACCAATCGGGGAGATGCCCTCGCCGCATTGCAATTGCCTCATGTTGTTGCCGTTCATGTCAGCAATTGCAAATGGGCAGCCAGATTTGCCAAATCGACACGGGCCGCCTCAAAGCTTTTTGTTGGGCATTCGTAAGGAGAGGCATTTTTTTCTTCCTCATTTTTCAACATTGACCTCCTCACGTCGCCTAGGCTGGCCCCGTTTCATCCGCAATCGGCTGCCTCTTGTCCCTCATTTACCGTCGTTGTCATCGGAGGGGGGAGTGTCGTCCTGACCTGATCAGACAATGGTTCGATCTTGGAGCGACGAAATGCTGGGCTTTCCCGTTTCCGATGGAACGTTCACAGTGTTCCCTTTCCCCCGGCTGGGCTTGTTCAAACACACAAATCTCACTTTGTGAAAGAGAGATAGATCGTATCCGCCCGCCGCCGTTCCGCGGCCCGCTTACTGGGAAGCAAGTAGCGGGGGAAATTTCCCGCCTCTGGCCCTCAGATCATCGATTCGGCTTGTCATTGCCCCTTGTACGAACGGATACTCCATATGATCTGATGATTTTTTCCTCGTCTATGGACGGTCTTGGAAGCTGGAGTCGGAGCCAGCCTACGTTCAGTGAGTGGGCTGCCTGTGTGGGAACCGGGCGCAATCGAAGGGATGAGGAAGTTTTTCTCTCCTTTCACCAATCTTTTGCCCCCTTTCTTTTTCCGTTTTTCTGATGCCCGTCATTCATGCTGGCGACGTGTCATAGTGGCATGTGCATATTTTCCGTCCCTTTCCCCACGTCGTTGAAGCCTCTTGGATCAGAAACTTAGCCCCTCTCGGCCTGACCTGACGGGACCGTGGGAGCTTGTGCTTGACCGGTGAGGATGTGGATCACGTCCCTTTTTTTTTGTGAAAATTTCTGAAAGCGATTTGAAGGGCTCATCAGGCAGATTGCAGCTGGAGCGAGACAATTCCTCCAGTAGGCTTGCGCATCACTTATCCCCATTGCGGGCTTTCGCTGGGCTCACGGGCCGCGCTCAACCAAAGGGGCGTCTGTCTATGCAAAAGCCTCTGCCGTTCCCCCCGAGAAAGAGGAGTGGGATGAGAGCGAGAGTGAGAGTGAGACTTTACTGGAGAGAGAGGCTTTCGTGGATGGCCTGATGCCGTTGTTGCGGGCCGGTTCATGTGCAGTCAACCAGGAAGCACCACACCGGGACAAGAATCTACAGCTAGACCACCTGGCGAGTCTCCAAGGCGTGCCGACGATTGGTGAGCCTTACGAGACGGGGCATTCCAGAGGGGGGTGTAACCTGGAGCTAGGGCACAGGGCTCGCCGTTGTTGTGCCTGTAAGTCGTAGCTCAGCTCAGCTTTGGTTGAAGAGATTTTTCTCGCGTGTTAGGTTTTGGAAGTGCGAGACAAGACACGAACCCGGCCGATGAGAACTCGTAGGCTGAAACATGCTCTTTTTCTTTGGTCTATTGGTGAGCGATCAGGCCAGAGAGTGTAAGTGTATCGGCGACGGAGGTGCAAGTTCCCTCCCGTTGTGAAGTCTCTTCGTGAGAACCTGATTTCATAATCCCAATTCTCCCTTCTGTTACGGACTACGGATACAAGTCTGCATCTTTGCAAGTGAGAGAGATGTATGGGCGTGTGTTTTGTCTATCCTAGGTTTGTGCGTTGTCGCACACGCCCAGAGCTCTGCGAATTGGATAGCGTTGGCCAGCACCGGGGCGCGGGATGTGCCGGTGGGGGTGGCAGCACAAGGCAGGGCATGGCAGAGCAGAGGTATCTTTTGTATCCTTGCGTGCAATACTTGCCTACAAAGTACTTTTGCTTTCTCACCAGGCCTCTCAGCCTGAGAGAGGCTGTGGAGCCCACGGGGAAGATCTCCCGGACATGGGTCGTTTTTATTATTGGAAGTTTTGGGCGGGGTGCCCCTTGCTGGGTTTGCTGGCGCCCTACCTTACGCAGTTACCTAAAGTTGAGCCTCAGGGCAGGGCAGGGCAACCTGACTACCTACGGACAGGTACACCATACCGGACATTATGCGTGCCTGGGAACATGCTGCGTAAGGTATGGTTAGAAGTCTCTTGCCTGCGAGGTGAATGTTGAGAGAGAGAGAGAGAGAGATAGAGAGAGAGACTCGTGCTCGCTTCAGTTTTGGATGATTGAAAAATTTTCCCCAAGGGTTCGGCTACCACGATGGAAAATGTTACCTGCGCCTTGCTCTGGATCAAAGCGAAAACTCTGTCCTGGTTCTTTTTGTGCGACGCCCGGTGCTGAGAACGGGGTGTCGGTGCAACGGTGAAAAATATCTGGATTGTGGGAAATGGGTGAACCAAGGGGTGGGCAACATGCCATCTTACGCCAGGCGAAGTTACGAGATACCCATGGGTACCGCTGAGTGAGACGTTTTCCTCATGGTTCTCATCTTCTGTACACAGGGCGCGCAAGTTACAAAAAAAAAAAAAGGGGGGGGGGGGGGAGAAAACTTTTCTCGTCAATTGTGTGCAAGGTACAAAATATGGTATTCGTAAGACGTTCCAATTCATGTTCACAGCAAAATGCACGGAAAGGAACAAAAGTCTTGGACGCCGGTTTGTGTTACTTGGGGACGTACGACTACCTACACGCTGGCCGCTCTTGTTTCCCAGTTCGTCGGTAACCCGTACAAGGCTGACTTGACTCTGACGGAGAGACATACGTTCACGAACCTGCGGCAACAGGGCGCTCCGGCAGGGCGGGACGTTTGCTGGGTAATGATCATGATGATGGCATGACTTGACTTGACTTGGAAAACTCTGTGAAACTGTCGAACTAGGCGGTGGCTTGCTCGAGCTTTACGCGTGCCATAAGCAGCTGGCAGCCTCATTGGAATGCAGACTCATACGGGCGGGCACAGGAAGTGGGTGTATGGACCGTCTAGCTGGATCAAGACATAAGAAACCAAGAGCCTTTTTGCGTGGCGTGCGTGGGGGGGGGGGGGGGGGACAGCTACGAATACCTCGTAGTGGGAAGAGAAAAGAAATGGAAAGACAACCAACACCCCCCCAAACCCTGGCTTAGAGACATTCTTCGATCAGGGGGTGTTGATGACAGAGTGGGAGAAAGATGGAGGATGGCATTTTGCAGCTAGGAAGCGAAAAAAGCAAGCAAGATGTGCGCGAAATGCCATGCACGCACCCAAGGCTTGCAAGGCTAAGAATATGCAAAAGCCAGACGACGCCATACCACGTTAGGAAGGAGTCCATCTGTGATCCAGATTCTTGTGACCGTGAACAGCACAGCTCAGCTCTTTTGCAATTCACAATGCGAGACTGCAAATACAGGGTCAAGTAAATTAAATGTCCGAACATTGCTCGCTACCATTCCGGGATGGCCTTCGTACCCTTGACCATTGATACCTGATTCGAGGCATGGAAAAGCGGTGGTGGGAAATACGTATTTCGTAGGCAGGTACTCCATAGAAAGAATTGGAAACCCAAGAAAGAAAGAAATGGAAAGCTAAGGGAGGGGCGGATAGGCGGGATTAGAGACAGGGTTCTCGGAGCTGTCAACGCGGGATGCCGCGGCGCTGGGCCCAATTGGATGGGATCATGGAGCTCGGAGACAACCTACCTTACGGATACCTTACTGCGGAGTTTTTTTGGTGCTTGCAAATTTTCTTGCCATGTGAAGCTGTGACTCTTTTCTTTCCAATTTTTGGCGGGTTTCATCCACTTTTTTTCCCCTTTCCATCGTCTCGGCTTCTCATCCGTATGACTATGACTCTTCAATATTGGGGAGATGCTCGTGATCCTCAAGATTTCTCTCACTATTAACTTTTTCTCGCTTAGCTTCATGAAGGAGGTTACGAAAAGGCAAGGAGGTACGGAGATACCTCACCGGACTTTGGGACCCGGTTCCAACTTTGTTCAAAGTTTCCATGTCTTGTTTTCGGGGACTATTTTCGGTTTCCGGCTAGCATTCCCCGTTGATATTTCAGGTACTACCGAGCCTGGAGGTAAGCTGGCAAGAACCAAGGTACTTTGTATCATTTGGTAGATTCCATTCTTCTCCTGCCTTGGCAGCTCGGTGACGTCCTGGTTTGAAGTTGACTCATCGTCGCCTTTGTCTCAAGGGCCTATGGGTCGCCGATTACCTAACCACTCACCTGCCTACTACGTATGCTTGCTATTGCTATGCAACTCTGTTTTTGCTCGTCATTCTCCCGTCAAAGTCAAGGATAGGCCGTCCATCTTTCGACTGAGGCTGTGTAACCTTCTTGCTTTTTTTCTTTTTGTGTAGTGGATTTACGGATACAAGGCAAGGGGGGAAAAGATACCAGGTCTTACTTAGCTTTGCCGGTCTCGCCTAAAAAACCGCCCGCAGAAGTCGTTTATGCTCTAAAGCAACACACAAAAACAACAGCAATAAGCAATCTACAGCGTTATGCAAAGAGGAGTTTGTTTAACTCGATCAAAGCGAAACATGGCGCAACATGAACCCCCCACTGTATTCCAACATTCCCAGTAGAGACAAAAAGGAATAAAACAAAGTTTCGCAATGGAAAAGCAGAAACCTACCAAAACCCCCCACACATGCAACTAGTGGGGATTCTTTCTTGTGTGAGTAACTGTGTGTAACTGTGAGAGTGCGTGCATGTTGTATCACTGTCAAGTCACCAAAGTTTTGTTTTTGTTTTTTCTTGTCTAAACCGACAGTCAGGCAGATCGTATTGACGCAGCGCATGTCGCTGTAGAGTCTCCATCGCCGAGACCCAGATGTTTCACCGACCCGGCCCTCACCATTGATACTATCGAGTCGGCTCTCAGCGGGCACGCCAGCAAAGTTCCTGCATTGCGTGCGACGATGGGTCAATGTTGCGATACCACGCACCATGGTGGGGACTTTGTTTGCAATATCTTTCACACGCTTGCGGTGACAAGTTGTGCCCTATGTTCCGGTCTGGACCTTAAGTGCCAAAGCGCATCGAAACAATACTGGGTACGGAAGAGGTAGCGTATTGCGGAGTACATGTTTCTCTTGTCATCGTTTCCACCAAAAGACTGGTCCCCTTGGATGCACTAAATGGCGTTTACCTATTCACTATTCCTCCGTAGTGCGCATCCTCAGACCCTGTGATGCGTACCTGGATAGGGGTGGGAGCAGAGGTGGTTCCCTACATTCAGGTATGACGGTGGGAACGTAGTGCAACTGTTAGGTACACTTGGGTACGAAAGGACCCTCTTGTTCCAGTCATGCCATGATCATCCACAGCATCTTGTCGCTTCTCAGGAGTCACTGGCCGGGCTCCCTACCTGAAGCTTACGAACCAGACGGAGCTGAGGTGGGTGCCGAGTTCCAGTTGTTCCCGTATGTATGTACAGTCACGATGCTGTGCGACGCTCTCTATACGCATCTCGTGCTGCGTCACCGGTTCCTGGATTCGCTCTGCGGATCCCCCGTCACAGGATCTGAGGAGAATACCTTCTTCTGTGGAAACTCGAGAGTCCAGACCTTTCCCGTGAAAAAAAGGACGCACTATCGCAGCGACGAGGACAACCAACGCGTGCCACGGTAGCATCGAACATCCCCACCGGGACGCCTTGAAACGACGGAGGCAGACTTACCTAAGCCAGACCCGGCGGTCGATGAAGAGTCTGGATGCTTCAGCCTTCACTGAGCTGGAGCACAAACTGGGGAGAGGTAGTGGCCTCAGGTTTCCAAGGCCATTGGCAAGCATACGCAGTGAGTACATACGCCAGAAACAAGCTTGGCATTGCGGATATGCTCATGCTTGTGGAGTTGTTTGCTCTGTGAGTCGTGACGCCCAGCGGACGGCCCTTTCTCCCCAAACAATCTCCCTCAGGAACTTTAGGAAACCCGTGAATCTTCCGGGTTCTCCATAATTCCACTCTTCTTGCCTGACTGGACGGGGACCTGAACCGGACCAGACGGACCTCACGGCCTCGCTGCCGAGCGAGAGAGCTGCGAGAAGCCAAAGCCTATCCACAAGGTAACTCCGCACCTCGAGTGGAGACCTGGACGATGCGTTGTCTTGAGGTTCTGCTTGGATCGCCGTCACAGGCCGGGGAGAGCCGGCCAGCACCGGGCTCCACAATGCCAGAGGAAGCCCCCAACCTCTCTCTCTCTTTTCCTTCCCGGACGCCGCCAGCCCGCTCCGGACTCCGTGGAGTGAACGTAGGGCATGGGGTGTGAGGCCACAGCCCCAAGGCGTCAAGGCCCCATCTTCTTGCACAAAATTGAGCAAGGACAACCTCAGCTCACGTGGCTTTGATATAAAGACGCCCTTTTGTGCAAGTTGTGCACGAACCCTCATACGTACCTTATGGGTCAGAGATTCACAGCTTCTTTAGTGCTCCCGTCATGGAGGATTCATCCTGGGGCCATCCACTAAACAAGAAACTTGTTCGTCAATGGCCTTTCTTGCACTTGCTCTCTGGCAAGTCCACATGGATTGCACACTCACCATCTTTTTACGTACGCATACTGAAGCCATCACTACCAAACGCAGTAGCTCAAGCTTAGCCGAGTCTAGCTCTCCCCAGGATTTTCGGGGGGAGGGGGTCCCTCTCAGCTCAGCCAGGCCTCAAAAAGAAACCCGGTTTAAACACACGATGGAGTCTTCTAGTGTTGAAGGAAAACAAGGCCATGCTGCCCGAATGACCGGTGCAGATTTTCACCTTAGCACGGCACCACGGGAAGCCGGCGCCGACGGTTGGACGACGGGTTCTGTTTCTTCAGAGGGATGGATGGAGACCATGGGCAAGCTATGACTGATGGCTGAGAAGTTAGATCGGGCGTCGTCCATTTGCTTGTCCCGCATCCCTGGACTCGAAAACCCGGTCTTGTGGTTTTTTCAGACACGTCAAAGAATGAAGATACCTTAGCTCCCCGTCAGCGGCGGCGCTGCTGCCCAAGCCTTTGGTAGCGTTGGTTGGAAAACTTGATGGGATCGTCACGCCAGGCGTGCCAGGCCACATGCAAAGGCAGGAAAAAACCTGAGACCCTTGACAGCCAGTCAGCCCTGGATTTTTTTTCGTGTCTTTTTACTTCGAAATTTTCTTTTTGACATCGTCGATTCTTTCGATTCTGCGATCCGAGGGGGTCCATCCCTTTCGATCTAGCAAGGCGCAGTCCGACGATCTACAACTGCACTATCAAGGGGTTGGCAGGGCCTTATTATGGCCTCGTTCAGCAACCACCCCCCCCTCGTTGTCGTCAAACTGACTCGAAGGCCGCAATTAAGCAATATGGAAAGATCGGCCTCGATCGATAGGGATGGATCATGGGGGGGCACCCAGCACGCAAGCGCGCGCAAGACAGGCGCCGCATTGCGAAATGTCCAGGCCCGTCTGTATATTGCCTCCATAGACTGTCTCTCTATCATACCCTTTGCTTGAAGGGCTGAAGAAAGGATTTCTGAACCGTCTAGACCGAATTCAATTAGTGTAAGGCGGGTCCAAGACTATCACGGGATGGTAGATGGCGAATTCAGCTACTCTATCAACCTTATCTCGAAAAAGGACAGCTAGCATCTATGCGGTCCTTTCAAATACCCCAAGAAATCCTTCAGCGGCCGTTGACTTCTTTGTCTCTGTTGTGTTAGGGAACTTGGGAGACGATCCGGCGCACCCCGCGGCATTGGCTTGGAGATTGAAGAATCGCCCGCGCATCGTTTCCGTCCTCGGCGAACGGCGCCGGGCCAGCGCAGAGCGCCAGCGGGACAAGCTGGAAGTCTGTTTTGCGGAGCTCCCGGGGGTGTGCAAATTTTCTTGGGCTTTACGGATACATCCAGCTCTGTTGGCGATGATCGGCGGACCGGCCGGGCATCTCTCGCCCTCTTAGCCTGTAAACTCCGTGGCCGTAACCGCCTTGCGGCGCTGTCCGTCTGGGGGAGGAGAGAAGGGGACGGCGGGCGGGGAAAACAGTGGGAATCCCAAACTGCTGCCAAAACGTAGGTTGCAGATCACCGAGGCCGAGAAATGTCACCACCGAACAGGTTTTTTTTTTTTCCTGCGTCGTGATGTGGGTGACAAAAACCGGATATGAGCGGCGCGGGATGGGACTGTGGGACGGAGGGGTGGGAAGACATCTGCAATGCAACACCACGGCAATTCCTATCTACTATCGACATATTAATTGCAAAGTGTTATTTGCTCGATTCTTCGCGCTCTTTTTTTCTTCAACGGCCCCCAATGCTACCTACCGCAGCTTCATAGCATTGAGCAGAAGATTTCGGTTGCTTCAACCCAAAGGAGGAGCTTGTGTCCGGTCTGTGGCCAGGGGGGAGGGGTGTTGCGGTGCGGGCAGGGCCGTGAAAGTTTATCGTGTCGTGCTCGCGAAAGCAACGCCATCGGTTTTGATGCCCGCGGCGCGGCATGGACCCTTGGATTTGGACGAGGATGGAACATTCAAGGTTTTTCTCCCCAATACCCTATAATGGCGATGCGGTGGTAAGTGGCGATGGGATTCTGGCATTGTGATACTTTTGCTTTGTAAGGGGAGGGTAGCCGAATGTAGTCGGCATTTCCGCTCTCAACCATTGCCCAGCTTTTTGCCCAGAGCCACCACTGTTTAGAAGCTCATCGAAAGGGGTCAAAACTCTGTCTCGATGGGGGTGTTGCGTTCATGGTCTGGTTTGACGATGCTTGCACGACAGAGCTATTTTCGGTACAAGCTTTTTCTCTCAATAGCAAAAGCCTAGTGTGATGAAGCTGTTAGGTAAAAAATATAGCATGCAAGGTTAGACTTTCGGGAAGAGTGAAGATAAAAAGGTTTGAACAGTCCGTTGTTTCTCTCGGACATGCGTGCTTAACACGAGTCCGCGAGTAGCTAAACGAGGTTTCGAGAAACTTTAGTCGTCGCATCTCCTCTCCGTCTAGATTTTTCTCTGCCCTCTTACGAGCATATGGCTCGTTTCAGAAGCACAGCTGAAGCTTGACCGCCCTGACTAACGGACTACGTACTCCGTTGTCCGTTGTCCTTCGCAACGGAGCTTGTTGGCCGGAAGGTTCGGGGGAGCACCGCACTGGAGGGTTCCACTCTGTCTCTATGGAGGAGGGGCACGGTGCTCCCGGCCGGCGCTGTTTCGGGAGCTGCGGGTGTGCTGGCGGGGCCTCGTAAAGTTATGTGTTGGCGGATCGGGGCCGAGCGGTGCGAAGCCGAGAAGGATGCGAGGTACGGAAGAGTCTGTGCCAAGCGAATACGATGCATCCGATGGTGCCCTACACTTTGTTGGATTGTACTTTTCTACTTCGGGTTCGCTCTACTAGAGGATGGTAACTCGTAAGATCGTGTGGGGGCGTTGCGAACGTAGAGATTGCTTTTAAAGACTTACGAACAGGTCCTTGGTATAGGACGAACCCCCTGGCGCCTCTTTGGTATACTTATCGTGCATCCCATGATTTCGTCTTCTATCTTTGCCATCGAGTCGTGTCATGCGCACGAGAGCCAAGGCTCAAGACGCGTGTTGTCTTAATCAAGACGGCAGGGCTGGGCAGAATATCGACCACCAATTTCCCGGCGCAAGTCAAACTAACCTTACCTTGGTTGAGAAAAACCTACTTGCCAATGCAGCCCCCCAATTCGATTTCATGAAGTATTATCACCCAGGAGGAGGAGGAGGCGCAGGCGTATGATCATTGGCACTGATCTCACCCTAAACGTAATCGGGATTGACTGAGTTCTTTATACGGACACTTTCGACCTTCAACTCTCCAAACCTTCAACGGGTCTAGCCCGTGATATGTCTTGATGAGAAATGAGAATAGACTTATCCCACTTGATTACTGATGTTTCCGACAGAGTACTGATAGCGGCCTGAGCTGCGTTCTTCACACGCGCATTCTCTTCGTGAGTGCCAACTACCTTCCGTAGCTATGCCTGAAGTTAGTTTTTCACCACTGTCTCGAGTGCTCTTGAACTTAAGCGGTGATACGGTTTTCTGTCGTTCATCTCATTTACGTAAAGTTTCAAGGCCTTCTAAATGTATCCCTCAGCAGCTATTGTAAAGTGGTCTTGGAAGCGCCACCTGCATGCCTGCTATACGGGTCTGACTTGTGGCAGGTTCCACCAGGTAGGCTGTTTAATTTTCTCTCGGAAAAAGAGTTCCGGTCCAGCGTCCATGGATCCCAACCGATCAAAGCCTAAAGTGAGAGCTCGTCATATTTTCTTTTGGAACGTTGAGAAGCGCGCGGCAAGTAAGCTGGCTATACTCTACGCAGCGGGCCGCCGCCGCCCTCACAGGGGCCTTTTGGCTTGTCACACCGCTGGAATCATGAATCACTCCTTCATTCCGTACATCCGACCAGAGTAATAGCCTTGTTATTCAGGTAAGAGCTTTGTTGCAAGGAAGCCTTTTACGTCGGCGATTACTAAAGCAAGGCATTGCATCCTCCTCTCGGCCTATTTAGGACACTGATTGGCCTAAGGCGCCGGAGGTGCCAAGATGCCGTCTACGTGGGCTCACGCCGAAGGGACTCTGGGAGACTCGGAAAGAGCGATGGATAGTGGTCTCCTTTCTGAGATTTTCTCTCATGATCCAATTCCGGTTGGTGAGGTCTCCTGCTCACTACCAGCACGCATATATCACAGTATCACTATAGAGAAACGGAGAAGCAGCGGTGCTGCTAGGCTATTTATTAATCTCAGATTGCCTACCTTACCATGTGTTCGTAATCTTAAGAGCCGCGTGCGGAACTGCTCTGGAAAACCCCGACTTGTAGCAGTGCTATGTAGTCGAAAGCTGAAGCTTCATCGTTAACGAAGGACATGAGGCAGGGCGTTTGATACGAATGACCATTAGACGTCACGGAATCAAAACCCGTTACACATGAAGATAGGAAGAAAAAAAAAAGAGTTCACCCCCCCGGTGCTGAATTGGGGGTTACATCTCTTGGTGCTCATGCTGGAAATCGAACTCGGAGCCTGTCGACGAGTAGGCATGTATTGGGGCGAATTAATTGTTGACCTTGATACCACTCCACCACCCAGCCAGTTTGACCTGACCCGTCGACCTAGACGGGCGCCGTCTGGCTGGTGACGGGAATGGCGTTGAGGGGGTATATATGGGCTCCTTCCCATGTGTATTCAGTAGATGGGATGAATACGCACTTGTACACGGGATCATTGTCCCTCGCCCATCTCGGCTGGAACACAGAGAGTGGCCAGCCAGTTGAGTTCAAGAACGTAAGGGAACTAGCCTCTCCTTTTTCGTGCTTTCATAGTCATGGGATAGTTTTGCTACTTCTCATGCTCCAACCAGATACGACGATGCTCTATGATGATCAAGACCAGCTGATGAAAGAGTCAATATTTGCTTCTTACGCAACGAGGCTCCTCTCAATGATTTTTCCAAGTCATTGGGAAGTCGAGTTCGGTTTATTCATTGCCTGTGCAAAGTAGGAAGGGATGACTTGAATTTGTCTTCATCAATAAACATGGCGTCTCCCTTTACACCTATGACTGACTCGACTCCCATGGAATCACTTTCGTCTTTTATGCCGACGTCAGCAAGGAGCACTCTAGACTACACGCCGCGGATAGTGATCCTGTCACTTATACATCAAATCAACATAACAGTCATGTTGGCAGAAAACGCTCGAATGTTTCAATTTGTGGGCATTGACGTGACTGCCCCTGTTTGTCTATTCGCACCATGCAATCTAGGTATATCCTCCTCAAGTCGTAACCAACAACTATACAACAACGAATCCAACAAGGCGCCATCGATGAAGTAACCCGTGCCCGTCTAATGCGTTATGAATCCCTAATCGCAGGCATGTAAATCGTTCATGAGCAAAGGAGAAAAGAAAAGCCGCATTCCTGCACAGGTCCCTTATCCGTGGATGCGCCTTTCCAGAAAGAAACCCGCTTAGCTTCGTGTGGCCTGTTTCAAACCACCGTGTGGCGGCTTCGTCATGTCGTTCAGTAAACACTGCCCAAGATACTCCTGTCCCGCTTCTCCGCGGCGTCAATGTCATCCTCGTCTGCCTCAGAGCCTCGGTGGCTGCTATTGGTATCGCCAAGGCGGTTGGCGCGGCGCCGCCGGCTCTTCTCGTCTGATTGCTCATCTTCGGTGTTTGGTGTCATGTTTCCTTTGGTTTGGCCACCGACGATGCTGTTGATACTGCCGTTGGCGCCGTTGCCGTCTCCATTAGACACAATGCCAACCTTGATCTTGGTCACGGCTGTGACCTCCGGTCTGTGGCCATCCTCCTCGGAAGAGTCTGTGTCACTGCCGGCAATCGAGGTCTGTCCGGAGAAAGTTCCGCCAAAATCACGGCCAACATTCAGGTGCGGCGAGATCATGCTCCGTAGACGATCTTCGGCAGAGATAAAGGATGGGGTTCCATCGGGAGATGAAACAACTTCATGGCGAGCTCGGGTGACGTCGATCTGCGGTGGCCGGCCATCGCTGTCGGTGCCCTCGTCGGATGTGTATCCCTGCTCGCATCGCTTAATGGGTCGCCGTCCTGGTGCAGGGGACTGCCGACGGGATACAACAGACCCATTAGAGGTGACTTCGTCCGTTCGGCGAAGGGCTTCCAGGTCGTCTCGCCTCTGGTAGTGGCTCTTGTGATTACACCCGTTAGGACAGCCACCCCAGCGCCGCGTGACGATGAAGGTCTTACTGCGTTCGAGAAGAGTACCGTTCTTGGCATCCTTGGTGGACCTTTCCTGGTTTCCCTCGACCTCGCTACGTTCCTTCTCCTCCTTCTCCTTTAACTCGGCCCGCTCCTTGCGTAGCTCTGACCATGTCCGGAGTTTATTCTCGAGGATGTACTTGCCGCTCTCTTCTTGCTTGCGCATGATGAGAAACTCGCAGTGGTTGACGTTCCGCAGGTCCTCAAAGTACTCGACAGTGAAGTGATACCACTTCATCAAGAACACCCGGGACATGAGGCCGTGGGTGACTAAAGGAGTTAGCAACACAAGGCAAAACGGCTCGGAGGTGTCCGGCATACCTAATACACAAACGCTGGCAAAATCATTCTCGCCAAACTGACGCCACAGACTCTCATTGAAGCCACTAACTCTGTCGTAGGCGTCTGCGGCGCTCTCGCCATTGGGGATGCGGTAGAAGAAATGGCCGTAATCGGCACGCTCTTGCCACATGCGTTCCATTTCGGCGGAGCACGGCTGGAAGTTACCAAAGTCCTGCTCACGCAAGCGAGGTTCCTCGTAGACCTTGATGTTGGAGCGCTTGAACGGAGAAGGATCCTCCTCGTCGGATGTCAGAGTCGAGAGAATGCCCTCGGTTGTCTCGCGAGTCCGGCGGTAGGGGGAAGTAAAGAAGTGCAGTGTGTCATCGGCACGCAGTAACTTGCGCAGATTGCGGCCAGCTTCGTAGGCTTGTTGCCAGCCATCTTGTGTCAACTTTACTCGATGGTCGGGTATCGTTTGGTGAATATCGCGGTTCTCTGCGTTTTGAAAAACAGTTAGCAATCCGGTCGAACGGAGATATCTCGGACCAAGGGAAACAGAGAAAGAAAGAGAGAGTCGCACTGTTGCCCTCTGACTGAGCGTGCCGAATGAGGATGATGAGCCTCGGTTTGACCATGATGTCGGGTTGTGGCGGGTGTGTTTTCCGGTTTGTAATCGGGATCAGGCGCCTAGAAGTTGTTTGGAGCGGTCGACAATGTGGTTGTCGGCGGTGTAGTGAGAGAGGTGGTTGTGGTTATTGTAAGAAGCAAGAAGTTCTTTATTGCCCGAAGAATACCATTCAGAGAAGAGAACAAAGCTCTGTGCAAACAAAATGGACGCGAGCCTCTTGTCGCAAAAAGTCGTAGCGTTGGGAACCTTGTTGACCGGGAAGGATGTGGAAGTGTAGGGGAAAGAATGAGGCGTGGCGGGGCAAAGGCAGGAGAGTGGTAGACGGGGGGCGGATGCTAGTCGCAGAGGCAAACCTTGGGATGGGGCTGCCGTTGTACGTGTATCGCTTTATGCCAACCTTAACCTTAGGAACGGACGGGGAGAGGGATGGAGCCTGCTTTAGTAGTGTGTAGACGTTTCCGACCAACAGGTTGAAGAGGTTGAGATGGGTTGAGTTTGGGTTGAAGGTGCAAGGAACGTAAGGCGTAGCAAGGAGTGGTTTAAGTGGGATGGAATGGACATGTCTGTCATTGCAAGAGAGAAGTCTCAGGGGTGTTTTTTTGGAGGGGAAGTGTGACTCTCAGGGACTCTCTTGGTTGTCTGATGCATCCACCATCATT